TTCTGTATGTCTGCCCTATCCACTACACCACGGATATTGTCCTGTAGATGATTTACCTTCTGTATGTCTGCCCTATCTACTACACCACGGAGATTGTCCTGTAGATGATTTACCTTATGTATGTCTGCCCTATTAACTACACCACGGAGACTGTCCTGTAGATGATTTACCTTCTGTATGTCTGCCCTATCTACAACACCACGGAGATTGTCCTGTAGATGATTTACCTTCTGTATGTCTGCCCTATCCACTACACCACGGAGACTGTCCTGTAGATGATTTACCTTATGTATGTCTGCCCTATCTACTACACCACGGATACTGTCCTGTAGATGATTTAACTTCTGTATGTCTGCCCTATCTACTACACCACGGATACTGTCCTGTAGATGATTTACCTTCTGTATGTCTGCCCTATCTACTACACCACGGAGACTGTCCTGTAGATGATTTAACTTCTGTATGTCTGCCCTATCTACTACACCACGGATACTGTCCTGTAGATGATTTAACTTCTGTATGTCTGCCCTATCCACTACACCACGGAGACTGTCCTGTAGATGATTTACCTTATGTATGTCTGCCCTATCCACTACACCACGGAGACTGTCCTGTAGATGATTTACCTTATGTATGTCTGCCCTATCCACTACACCACGGAGATTGTCCTGTAGATGATTTACCTTATGTATGTCTGCCCTATCCACTACACCACGGAGACTGTCCTGTAGATGATTTACCTTATGTATGTCTGCCCTATCTACTACACCACGGAGATTGTCCTGTAGATGATTTACCTTCTGTATGTCTGCCCTATCCACTACACCACGGAGATTGTCCTGTAGATGATTTACCTGATCGATTGCTGCTGCTCTGCAGTAAGAGCATTTCTTAACTCATTTTAGTTAATTGGGGGGCCCAGTCGTCTAAGGCGCCGCGATTCGCTGTGCAGAGTTACGTCCCTTAGGCACGCCAGAAGATTGTGGGTACGAATCTCGGTCGCCCAGATTATGTTTCTAGGTTTGTCAGCACCATACCCGTGCTCGTGGGTTTCACCGAAGTAGTAACGTCTGAGACCTGCATCATTTCAGGTTTTCCTCCCACATTAAGCTGACACGCCGTGATATAACTGGAATACTGTTAAAAGCGGCGTTAAACCCATCTCACTCACTCATTTTATTTAATCCCAGTGCAAATAAAAGGGTATTATAGTGTGCCTTTTTTGCGCTAGGCGCACCTGTGAACTACCATGTCCAAAGTTTCGCACACAGTTCTTTGTGGTATCGAGATTTGATATTGTTTCATCTACAGGTACCAAACCAGATATTTTGTTATTTAAAACTGTGAACCTGAATTGTTTAAGAAAAACACCTTGCAACAACGTCATTTTTGTGGCAGGCGATTTTTTTCCAACAGTTGGAAGCATAATTTTCTCTTTCAGGAATCTTTGGGGACAATATATTTTGTTTAAATAAGACCCCCCCCCCCCCCCCCCCCCCCCCCCCCCCCCCCCCCAACCCCCGTGTGGGAAATCAATTTGGAGCACACAAACCTGATGCCGATATATTGAGTTCAATACAACAACCATGGGCTATGTACCATATTGCAAGCTGGTCACAAACCCACTGAACCACTTGATCCAAGGCCGATATATGGAGTTTAATACAACAACCATGGGCTATGTACCATATTGCAAGCTGGTCACAAACCCACTGAACCACTTGATCCAAGGCCGATATATGGAGTTCAATACAACAACCATGGGCTATGTACCATATTGCAAGCTGGTCACAAACCCACTGATCCACTTGATCCAAGGTCGGGTGGAGTAGCCTAGTGGTTAAAGCATTCGCTCATCACACCGAAGACCCGGGTTCGATTCCCCACATAGGTGCAATGTGTGAAGCTCATTTAAGGCCTACCCCGCCGTGATATTGCTGGAATATTGCTGAAAGCGGCTCCACAATCACTCACCAGACTCGCCTCTGGCGTAAAACATACGTTACTATTACCAAATGGGTGATTGGGTTAAAGCTCACGATCACGTTACCCACATGATCAGACAGGCATTGATAATGTGGACGACACATTAACGTGGCAGCCATTCTCAAGCAAATCATAGAAAATAACCCGGCCCAAAAGGCCAAGTATTCTCGATTATTTATACACAGTCAATTTGTGAGACCTACATTACAAGAACCACACTTTCAGGGTGCTGTTGAGACGTCACTAAAGGCGTGTCTCGTATGAAAGAACTAACAAGCTCCTCTCGACCCGACAGATGAGAGTGTCTAGCGCACATCAAATACTGTCGTCCCTTTTGAAGGATATCGTTATGTCCACCAAACGTGACCATTCCTTTTTTTCTTGGCACCCAATTGGTATAAACCGCGAAACAAGCGGCCATTTGCGCGACCGGCCTGTGTAACAAGCCATTTCACAAAGGCTAAGCGTCGGTATAGACGTTAATACTTCCGGTAGCCGCCATATTTTCCAGCAGTGTTAGTCTCGCGACTAATCATATGTCTTGATAGCCGCTTGAAGACGTGAGACGGCGCTAGATATCTGTTTGAGGAGATGTTTTTCATTTTTGAGTTCGTTCCTGCCAAGTGAAACGCGTTCACTTAAGTATTTCTATTTTAGGGAAGGTCAACGATAAGTACGTCTGCGTAGATGGGAATTTAGATTTTTCGATTGCTTCCGTCCAGACTATTGCTTTTTGTAGACTGCACATTGTACACTTATCAGAAGTGTTCGCGGACTTCAAACGAGCGTTTTATTATGTTTGACTTTATGAATTAACCATGAGCATTGAGGTAACCTGGTACAGATCCATTGTGCGGAATAATGCAGTAGAGTACATCAGTTAATTTGACAAGTTCTCTATTTTACTAGAAACCACTCACAGTGCACACGGTACATGTGTAAATAAGCATAAAGGACAAGGCAACGATACCAAGCTGTAGAAACAGCCCGCTGTTATTATATACCTTCCACTCTGTCAAATCTGTAAATATAGAGCTGTTGTTGATCAATTGAACTGTATATTGAGTGCAACTGTTTAAATTGGACAGAAATGTATCACTACCTACTTATTGGCGTAATCGTCACAAGTCTTATAAGGTCCGTGGTCTGTTTACAACCAGTGAGACTAAGGTGTCAAGTCGCCATCTGCAGGGACCCCTTCACAAACTGATCTTAGCGCTATCGCTGTCCAGGTCAGTGTTAAAGTAGGCGCGTCATGATAGTCATCACTGAGATGGCTTTGAGGAACAAGGCCCTAAACATCTATATTATATTTATACTTTGGAAATAACCTTTGCCATCAAGTATTAAAACTGAATTAAAGTATGTTCGCACCATTATCCCTTACATAGCATTAATAGTACGAAATGACCCATGTAGATCCGGGTTAGAATAGGTCTTCAGCAACCCAAGCTTGCCGTAAAAGGCGAATATGCTTGTCGTGAGAGGCGACTAACGGGATCGGGTGGTCAGGCTCGCTGACTTGCTTGATGCACGTCATCGTATCCCAATTGCGTGGATCGATGCTCATGATGTCAATCATTGGATTGTCTGGTCCAGACTTGGTTATTCAAACACCGCCGTCATATAGCTGGAATATTGCTGAATGCGGCTTTAAACTACAAACAAACAAACAAGCAAAACTAGTACGAAAAAATTAAACTATAATATGACATTATATAACATTCTGACCAGGAGCAGGAAATGACCAGGAGCAATCTGATTGGCTGGAAAACGTTGTTAAATGGGATTTGATGTCAGAAAACTTCTTGACCTCTCACTGCATATGAATTTTCTTTCTCAATTCTAAAAAAAACCCGTAATTTTGCTTTGCGTGAAAGGTATCGCAATAATGATATACATTCAATGTCTGTTATGAAGATCAAATAGTCAATAAAACCCACAAATCTCAAAAGACACATCTACCTCCTTAATGATTTCAAGCTACCCGTGAAGATCCGGGTTAGAATAGGTCTTCAGCAACCAATGCTTGCCGTAAAAATGCGACTAACGGGATCGGGTGGTCTGGCTCGCTGACTTGGTTCATGCATGTCATCGCAACCTAATTGTGTAGATGATGCTCATGATGTCAATCACTGGTTGTCTAGTCCAGACTCGATTATTTACATACCGCCGTTATACAGCTCGAATATTGCTGAGTGCGGCGTTAAACAACAAACAGCAAACAAACAAACAAGCTACTTCTGTATTTTTGATATTTATGGTTGACATGTGGTGTTTTTGATAAAACAATATTCCCCCAATACCTAATGCAATATTGGTAAAGGAACACTATGTTGTTCTAAATGTACAAAATCACTGATTCACATCACATGCGATACATGTTAAATAATACTCAAGTAACTGTTGCCGTGGAACAGTTACAAAACATCTTATTAGATCATCCATTTCGTTCTCTGTATTTCAGTATGAGTGTCGCTGGAACAAAACAAAATGGCGTTTGAATCCTATATATTTCATCCATAAGCACCAAGAGGGAGATGCATTCAGACTGTGCCAGTATGGGCTTCTTCCAGATCTAGCTGACAGTCCATCATAGCTTAAATACTCCATGGGTGGAAGTAGTATTAGTGGTGATGGTGGTGGTGGTGGTGGTGGTGGTGGTGGTGGTTGGAGTGTTTTTGTTCTTTTTGGGTACAAGCAAAATAAGCAGCAGACGTACAAGCAACATAAGCAGCAGACGTACAAGCAACATAAGTAGCAGCAGACGTACAAGCAACATAAGCAGCAGACGTACAAGCAACATAAGCAGCAGCAGACGTACAAGCAACATAAGCAGCAAACGTACAAGCAACATAAGCAGCAGACGTACAAGCAACATAAGCAGCAGCAGACGTACAGCAACATAAGCAGCAGCAGACGTACAAGCAACATAAGCAGCAGACGTACAAGCAACATAAGCAGCAGGAAACGTACAAGCAACATAAGCAGCAGCAGACGTACAGCAACATAAGCAGCAGCAGACGTACAAGCAGCATAAGCAGCAGCAGACGTACAAGCAACATAAGCAGCAGGGGACGTACAAGCAACATAAGCAGCAGGGGACGTACAAGCAATATACGCAGCAGCGGGGGACGTACAAGCAACATAAGCAGCAGCAGGGGACGTACAAGCAACATAAGCAGCAGCGGGGGACGTACAAGCAGCATAAGCAGCAGCGGGGGACGTACAAGCAGCATAAGCAGCAGCAGGGGACGTACAAGCAACATAAGCAGCAGCAGACGTACACGCAACATAAGCAGCAGCGGGGGACGTACAAGCAGCATAAGCAGCAGCAGCAGACGTACAAGCAACATAAGCAGCAGCAGCAGACGTACAAGCAACATAAGCAGCAGCAGACGTACAAGCATCATAAGCAGCAGGAGACGTACAAGCAACATAAACAGCAGACGTACAAGCAACATAAACAGCCCGAGACGTACAAGCAACATAAACAGCAGACGTACAAGCAACATAAGCAGCAGCAGACGTACAAGCAACATAAGCAGCAGACGTACAAGCAACATAAGCAGCCCGAGACGTACAAGCAACATAAACAGCAGACGTACAAGCAACATAAGCAGCAGGAGACGTACAAGCAACATAAGCAGCAAACGTACAAGCAACATAAGCAGCAGACGTACAAACAACATAAGCAGCCCGAGACGTACAAGCAACATAAACAGCAGACGTACAAGCAACATAAGCAGCAGCAGACGTACAAGCAGCATAAGCAGCAGCAGACGTACAAGCAACATAAGCAGCAGACGTACAAGCAACATAAGCAGCAGACGTACAAGCAACATAAGCAGCAGCAGACGTACAGCAACATAAGCAGCAGCAGACGTACAAGCAACATAAGCAGCAGCAGACGTACAAGCAGCATAAGCAGCAGCAGACGTACAAGCAACATAAGCAGCAGCAGACGTACAAGCAACATAAGCAGCAGGGGACGTACAAGCAACATAGGCAGCAGCAGGGGACGTACAAGCAACATAAGCAGCAGGGGACGTACAAGCAACATAAGCAGCAGGGGACGTACAAGCAATATAAGCAGCAGCGGGGGACGTACAAGCAACATATGCAGCAGCAGACGTACAAGCAGCATAAGCAGCAGGGGACGTACAAGCAATATAAACAGCAGCAGCAGCAGACGTACAAGCAACATATGCAGCAGCAGACGTACAAGCAACATAAGCAGCAAAAGTAGCACGATGGTGGTGATGGTGGTAGTCGTAGTTATTTATTAGAAGAGGTCTTCAGCATATCATTCTTGTCGTAAAAGGCGACTGTGCTTGTCGTAAGAGGCGACAAACGGGAGCGGGTGGTTATAGGCTTGCTGACTTGGTTGATACTTATCTTCGTATCCCAGTGGCTTAGATCGATGCTTGTGATCACTGGATCGTCACTGGATTGTCACTGGATTGTCTGGTCCAGACTTGATTATTTACAGACCGCCGTGATATGTCTGGAATATTGCCGAGAGCGGCGTTAAGCAACGAACAAGCAAACAAACAAATTTAGCTTTTATTAGCCATATAGCAACATGATTAGTACTAACAATAGCAGCAGGATAAGTACCCGCAATAGTTGCAGCAGTAGCAGCAGGATAAGTTCTTAGTCTAGCGATAGGGGAAGCTGGATTAGAAGCCGCAATAGTTGCAGCAGTAGCAGCAGGATAAGTACTTAGTCTAGCAATAGGGGAAGCTGGATTAGTACCCGCAATAGTTGCAGCTGTAGCAGCAGGATAAGTACTTAGTCTAGCAATAGGGGAAGCTGGATTAGTACCCGCAATAGTTGCAGCAGTAGCAGCAGGATAAGTACTTAGTCTAGCAATAGGGGAAGCTGGATTAGTACCCGCAATAGTTGCAGCTGTAGCAGCAGGATAAGTACTTAGTCTAGCAATAGGGGAAGCTGGATTAGTACCCGCAATAGTTGCAGCTGTAGCAGCAGGATAAGTACTTAGTCTAGCAATAGGGGAAGCTGGATTAGTACCCGCAATAGTTGCAGCAGTAGCAGCAGGATAAGTACTTAGTCTAGCAATAGGGGAAGCTGGATTAGTACCCGCAATAGTTGCAGCTGTAGCAGCAGGATAAGTACTTAGTCTAGCAATAGGGGAAGCTGGATTAGTACCCGCAATAGTTGCAGCTGTAGCAGCAGGATAAGTACTTAGTCTAGCAATAGGGGAAGCTGGATTAGAACCCGCAATAGTTGCAGCAGTAGCAGCAGGATAAGTACTTAGTCTAGCAATAGGGGAAGCTGGATTAGTACCCGCAATAGTTGCAGCTGTAGCAGCAGGATAAGTACTTAGTCTAGCAATAGGGGAAGCTGGATTAGTACCCGCAATAGTTGCAGCAGTAGCAGCAGGATAAGTACTTAGTCTAGCAATAGGGGAAGCTGGATTAGTACCCGCAATAGTTGCAGCAGTAGCAGCAGGATAAGTTCTTAGTCTAGCAATAGGGGAAGCTGGATTAGTACCCGCAATAGTTGCAGCTGGAATACTACTAGAAGCAGCAGAACTAATACTAGCAATTAATACACCAACAACAGCTGTGTTACAAAGGTCGACGAAAATCTGAACATGCAAGACACGTGATAGGTGGAGTGATGTGCAAGATGGGAAATGAAAAAAAATGAAATTAAACCACTTGTTTATAATGATGAAAAACCGGCAGCTCATCGGAGGCTGAAAGATTCTACCTAGGGGAGGTTTTTTTCAAACTCTCGCCATCCCGCCCTGTGTGCACGTGTCCAGTATCAATTCCGACTAAGACATTTTAACAAATGACAGGATTTAGCCGTAACACCGTCGAGACCGAAAGTGGCGTTTCCATGGTTACCATATTTATTGATCTTTAGGCTGTAACCGCCAATTTTGACAATTTCTCACATTTCGAGTACCACTTTGGTCAATGTTATTTCCCGTACGCGCTCAGATCAGCCGGCAGGACAATCTAATCAAAAGTTTATCACGGCAGATTGTGGAAACAGTTTGTTTTCTGAAGTGATTTCTATGATAATGTCTAGGTGGGGTCAATAAAATGCCCATTCCATGGTGCCGTGTACAGTCTGTGACAGTTGAAACAAGGATCCTGGCGGCCGGCTTGTCGGTAAAACTGGTAATTGAGAAATAATGGAAACATTGGTTTAAAGAGGACAATGTTCACGAGCTCTCGACAAGCGTTTCAGGCAATTACCACTTGTTCTAGTACTACTATCACCAGAATACTTTCTAGTACTACTATCACCAGAAATATCTTCTAGTACTACTATCACCAGACATATCTTCTAGTACTACTGTCCCTAGACATACCTTCTGCTGCTGCTGCTACCAACCTCACTACTACTTTAACGACTAAAGGTTTCTAACTATTACTACCACCAGTACTTTCACTACTATCACTACTACTGTTATTACTGTCGTTGTTGTGATTAATATCACACTACAACAACAACTACTCATTATATATAACTACTGCTACCACTACTACTACCAACCTCACCACAACTACTACTACTACCACTCCTACTACGACTACTACCACCAACCTCACCATCACTACCACTACTACTACTACTACTTCCACTATCGCACTTCAACTACCACCACGACCACCACCACCACTACTCCTGCTGCTGCTGCTGCTGCTGCTATTGCTACCGATACTGCTACCAGCACCACTAATAATAATGCTCCTACTACTACTACTGCTACTACTACTACTACTACCATTCTTACTACTACTACCATTCTTACTACTACCACTAGTACAATTGTTACTACTACTACTACCATTCTTACTACTACCACTACTACTATTGTTACTACTGCTACTACCATTGTTGCTACTACTACCATTTTTACTACTACTACTACCATTGGTACTACTATTACTACTACTACTATTGCTACTACTACTACTACTACCATTGTTACTACTACTACAATTGTTACTACTACTACTACCATTGGTACTACTATTACTACTACTACTATTGCTACTACTACTACTACCATTGTTACTACTACTACTACCATTGTTACTACTACTACCATTGTTTCTACTACCACTACTACCATTGATACTAATATCACTACTACTACTGCCATTGTTACTACTACTACTACTACCATTGGTACTACTATTACTACTACTACTACTACTACCATTGTTACTACTACTTCTACTACTACCATTGTTACTACTACTACTACTACTACCATTGTTACTACTACCATTGTTACTACTACTACTACTACTACCATTGTTACTACTACTATTGTTACTACTACTACTACTACTACCATTGTTACTACTACTACCATTGTTACTACTACTACCATTGTTACTACTACTACTACCATTGTTACTACTACTATTGTTACTACTACTACTACTACTACCATTGTTACTACTACTTCTACTACCATTGTTACTATTGTTACTACTACTACTACCACTACTACCAGTGTTACTACTACTACTACCATTGGTACTACTATTACTACTGCCATTGTTACTACTACTACTACTACCATTGGTACTACTATTACTACTACTACTACTACTGCCATTGTTACTACTACTACTACTACCATTGGTACTACTATTACTACTACTACTACTACTACCATTGGTACTACTATTACTACTACTACTACTACTACCATTGTTACTGCTACTACCATTGTTACTACTACTATTGTTACTACTTCTACTACTACTACCATTGTTACTACTTCTACTACTACTACCACTACTACCATTGTTACTACTACTACCATTGTTACTACTACTATTGTGACTACTACTACCATTGTTACTACTACTACCATTGTTACTACTACTACTACCATTGTTACTACTACTATTGTTACTACTACTACTACTACCATTGGTACTACTATTACTACTACTACTACTACTACCATTGTTACTACTACTACTACTACTACCATTGTTACTACTACTACTACTACTACCATTGTTACTACTACTACTACTACTACCATTGTTACTACTACTACCATTGTTACTACTACTACTACCATTGGTACTACTATTACTACTACTACTATTGCTACTACTACTACTACCATTGTTACTACTTCTACTACCATTGTTACTACTACTATTGTTACTACTACTACTACTACCATTGTTACTACTACTACCATTGTTACTACTACTACTACCATTGTTACTACTACTACCATTGTTACTACTACTACTACCATTGTTACTACTACTACCATTGTTACTACTACTACTACCATTGTTACTACTACTACCATTGTTACTACTACTACTACCATTGTTACTACTACTACTACCATTGTTACTACTACTACCATTGTTACTACTACTACTACCATTGTTACTACTACTACCATTGTTACTACTACTATTGTTACTACTACTACCATTGTTACTACTACTATTGTTACTACTTCTACTACTACTACCATTGTTACTACTACTACCATTGTTACTACTACTACTACCATTGTTACTACTACTACCATTGTTACTACTACTACTACCATTGTTACTACTACTACTACCATTGTTACTACTACTACCATTGTTACTACTACTACTACCATTGTTACTACTACTACCATTGTTACTACTACTACTACCATTGTTACTACTACTACTACCATTGTTACTACTACTACCATTGTTACTACTACTATTGTTACTACTTCTACTACTACTACCATTGTTACTACTACCATTGTTACTACTACTACTACCATTGTTACTACTACTATTGTTACTACTTCTACTACTACTACCATTGTTACTACTACCATTGTTACTACTACTACTACCATTGTTACTACTACTATTGTTACTACTTCTACTTCTACTACCATTGTTACTACTACTATTGTGACTACTACTACTACTACTACCATTGTTACTACTACTACCATTGTTACTACTACTACTACCATTGTTACTACTACTATTGTTACTACTACTACTACCACTACTACCATTGTTACTACTACCATTGTTACTACTACTATTGTTACTACTTCTACTACCATTGTTACTATTGTTACTACTACTACTACCACTACTACCAGTGTTACTACTACTACTACCATTGGTACTACTATTACTACTACTACTACTACCATTGTTACTACTACTTCTACTACTATTGTTACTATTACTACTACTACTACTACCATAG